CCGACCGACTCTCGATCCCGGAGGCCACCGAACTCAAGCGTCAGCTTGAGGAGCTCTTGAGACTGGGTTTCATTAAACCCAGCAACTCCCCGTGGGGTACACTCGTCCTCTTTGCTCGTAAAGCGGATGAAACTCTCCGTCTCTGCATCGACTATCGCGGCCTCAACCGCTACACGGTTAAGAACAACTACCCCATGCCTCGTTCCGACGAGCTGTTCGACCGCCTAGCAGGAAACCGCTTCTTTACGAAGATTGATCTTCGTAGCGGTTACCATCAGATCCGCGTCGCTGCAGCGGACCAGCCGAAGACAGCGTTCCGATCGCGCTTCGGCCACTACGAGTTTACGGTGATGCCATTCGGCCTCACCAACGCACCCGCTACCTTGCAGAGGGCGATGAACAACATCTTCAGGGACATCCTGGACCAGTACGTTCTCGTCTACCTCGACGATATCCTGGTCTACAGTTATACCCTTGAAGAGCACCTTAGACACCTCCGGGACGTCCTTGACCGCTTGGGCAGACATGACTTCTACGCCAAGCTGAGCAAGTGCCGCTTTGCCCAACACAAAGTAAATTTCTTAGGACACTACGTGTCTGACCAGGGTCTCCATATGGACGACGCGGAGATCACTGCTATTGCAGAGTGGCCTGTCCCCACATCCGCCAAGCAGCTTCGCAGTTTCCTAGGCCTTATCAGCTACTATAATAATTTTATCTAGGGATACACTAGGTATTCCTACGTTCTTACCTCCACCCTCCTCCGGAAGAACCCACCCTGGGCTTGGACACCCCTCCACGAGGACGCCTTCCACGCCCTCAAGAAGGCGGTGACATACGCACTGATTCTTCACCTACCCGATTTTGACCGCCCTTTTATCCTTATCACCGATGCGTCAGACTTTGCTGTAGGAGCAGTGTTTTCTTAGAGCTTCCCCTCCTCTCCTGATTCCTCTCATCCTCATATCCCTCGCTTCCGACCACCTACGCCTACCACTGCTTTCCAACTGACGCATACTCGTCCAGCTACTGACGAGCCTTCTATTGACTATTCTCCTACCATCGCCGAGGACGGCACTGTCGAATCTCGCTCAGGTGATTGTCATATAGTCTTCTACTCCAGTCAGCTCCTGCCCGCCGAGATAAACTACACCGCTGATGAACGTGAGGTTCTCGCAGTAGTTTATGTCGCTCGGCATTGGCGTCACTACCTGCACGGGGCACCGTTCACGGTGCGCACGGACAACTATGTTGTCCAGACTTTTCTGACAAAACCGAAGCTCACTCCTCGACAGGCTCGCTGGTGGCGTGACCTATCCGAGTTTAGTTTCACCATTTAGCACATCAAGGGTGAGATTAATAGGGTCGCAGATGCCTTATCCCGACGCCCTAACCACGACCAGGAGCAGATCCAACTCTCTTCCATCTCGGTCACCAGCGTCCACGACTCGGTGATCGACGAGTTCCGCACTCATTACTGCCACTGCCCCGACTATCGTGACATCCACGCGACCCTTCAGAGTGGCAAGACCGTCCCGAACTACTCTCTCGGGGACAACGGTCTCTTGTACTGGCACGGTTCACAGGGCACTAGAGAGCCCCATATTTGTGTTCCCTCCGCTGGACAGCTACGTGTCCGAGCAGTAGCAGAGTTCCATGACCAGGCAGCCGCCGGTCATATGGGCTTCCACAAGACGTTGGCTCGTGTGAGCTGCCTGTACGTCTGGCCGAAGCGCAAGGACTTTGTGAAGGACTACGTCGCAGAGTGTCCCACCTGTCAGGAGGTTAACAGTGCGAACCACCTTCCTTATGGTTTGCTCCAGCCTCTTCTTATCCCTGAGGGTCGTTGGCAGTCCATCTCGATGGACTTTATCAATCCACTTCGTCCTCCGACCCCTCCCGGTCATGATGCTATCCTGGTCGTCGTCGACCACTTCACGAAGCGTGCACGGTTTGTTCCGTGCTGCTATGCCATCAGTGCACGTGAGGTCGCCGACATCGTGTTTGACTGAGTCGTGCGTGACCACGGCTTACCTCTGAGCATCATATCTGACCGTGACCCACGCTTTACCAGCCGATTCTGGCGACGGCTCCACGAGATGTACGACACTCAGCTCCGCTTCTCCTCGTCTTACCATCCTTAGACTGATGGTCAGATCGAGGTCACGAATAGGACTCTCCGAGATATTCTCCGAAAGATTGTTCGTGACGACCAGCAGTGGGATCTCCATCTTGCCCACGCGGAGATAGCCTACAACCACGCCGTCTCGCCAGCCACAGGGATGTCGCCTTACGATTGCGACCTCGGCTATCACCCTCGTGTTCCCGCGACTTCCTTCGACCGTCACAGATGCACCCCGACACGAGTTGTCCCGCGCTGGATGATTGGGTTGCACACATGACGTCGATCATGAAGACCGCGCATGAGCACATAGCCGCTTCCCAGACTCGCATGACAGCACGTGCGAACCGATCGAGGATGGATCATCCATTCAAAATCGGTGATGATGTGCTTATCGACGCCCGCCACTTACAGCTCGAAGCGGACACGCTTCGCAAGTTTCGACGTCGCTTTCTTGGCCCATGCCGCATCCTCCAGACCGTCAGTTCTGATACGGCTTCTAGCCCGATCAACTTCCGTGTGAAGTTGCCCGACTACCTACGCCAGGCTCGTGTGCACGATGTCTACCACGTCTCGTTACTGCGTCCTTACCGTAGACCGTCTGAGCGTTTCGTTGGACGACCATACGAACGCCCTCCACCCATCATGGTGGACGACCACGAGGAGTTCCTCGTTTCAGACATCATTGGTCACCGAGTCACCGACGACAACCCTCCTCACGTCGAGTATCTCGTACGTTGGAAGGGTTACCCTGATGAGGAAGCTACCTGGGGGCCCCTCGAGCACTTGCAGCACGCTCGCATGTTGGTGCGTGCCTATGACCGTGTTCGTCGTGCTGGGTCGACTGCTGCCCCTCAGCCCACTGGCCCTCCTCCTTCTCCCTCGGCTGAGGAGATCGCTGAAGTCGAGCCTGCCCCTTTTGAGGCAGACCTTCAGCAGCAGCCGGATGCTTCTGAGCATCCATAGCGCACTCGTCGTCGTCCTGCTCGATAGGACGATTGACTCTGACTTACCTTCCCACGTCTTTAACTTCTCAGTACTCCATGCACATCAGTTTTGCTACTTCAGCTCGTCGACGTTGCGGCTCTTCCTCGACGACATTCCGGACTTCTCATCATGGACGTCATCGACAACTTCATGGACTTCGTCACGATCAGCTCTGCCTACTTCGGACGTCATCACTCTCTTACCACTTTACCCTGTACAGTACCCTTGTTGTGTCGCATGATGGTCTCCCTTTAGCCGGGTTCCTCTGAGTTGGGCTCTCCCTTGGTATACGCATAGGCATCGGGACCGTAGCGTTGCCCTGACTTTCCATCTTACGGATCTAGCTCCGACTTCCCTCACTTTAGGAGTCATTTGCATGATTCCCTTACCCATCACCTTTCTACCCTCTGCCGGCCCTCACGCCCTAGTTAGGCAGCCTCGCATGCTTTATCTAGGTGCGCCCAGTATACCAGGCTCCCTTGTTCCCTTGCATGGTTGACCCTCCATAGCGGTCACCCCTTTAGTCGAGCATTACCCACCCTGATGGTCTATTTGTTAGGGTCATTGGTTTCGCTCCCAGTTCCCTACCCTCATTGAGCTTGATGGCATGTGTTCCCCCTGTCACTATGTGTGGATGCCCTTAGGAGTTTTCGACCCCTAAGCTACATTCGCCACCCTCAGAGACCATCCCACCCTTTGGTTTGCGACACACTTCATTGTGACATATGGTTGACTTGTTGTTGCTTTGTTGCTCTCAGACTGAGGCTACTGCCTCTGACATTTTTAGGATTTAGTTGTTCTGCTTTTGCTGTTCTTAGGACTTTTACATTAGTCAGCTGTCTCCAGACTGAGGCTACTGCCTCTAACATTCTAGGATCTAGTTGTCATTACTTTCTGCTTTACTAGGACATGTATGCTAGTTAGTTGCTTCTGCTTTTACTTAGGCTGTTAGCTGTGATATTGTTGTTTTCGTGACATTTTCTACCCTAGGTTGCATCGCATGGACTCAGCATGGAGCTTGCTCTGCATCCTAGACTACTCAGGTTTTCTTTTCTTTGGTAGAGTTCCGCTTCTTGGCGGAAGCCTGCTTGTATCTAGGCGATCCATCACAGGCCGAGGATCGTGTAGCGGACCTCTGGTTGGCCTGTGAGACCAGGGCCTGTTCTCACAGGCCTGTGTTGTATTCGGGGCAGTCCAGTCCAGGCCGTACCTCTGTCGGTACCAGCCAGTCCAGTCCAGTCCCGTCAGTCCGCTGGGGTATACCCCAGCTGTTGTCTGTATTCTGTCTCATTCTACATTCGCACAGTTTTGGAGTACGTGCCCTGGAGTCTTGCGTGGGAGCTGCGCTGTGGCATCTCGCTCCTCCCTCATCCTCCATCTCCATCATCATCCCAGGCGGAGCACCACACCTGGTGGGTCCGCTACATCATGATATTTTTTTACCACATTTCATCATGGAATTCTGTTCCGGACAACAGATGTTGTTCTAAAAATCGCTTCAGCATTATTCTTCTGCCTTTCCTCTTTCTCTCTCACTGCATGGCTCTCTCTATTCTCAATGTGCGCAGAGAGAGAGGGGTGTTTGGTGTTTCTCGCTCGCCTGCGCTCTTGAGAGACCGAATCCGATGAGCCGAGAAAGAGTTTGTCTCGCCAGCTTGTCATTTTGGCAGAATACATTCTCTGCGGATATCCAATCAAACCTTCAAAAACGAAAAAAAACATTCAATCCGTGGCATCCAGAAAAGGTTATAAGATTCAACTCACAGGGTGGGCCCCAGAGCGGGGGGGGGGGGGGGGAGAGAGAGAGAGAGAGAGAGAGAGAGAGAGCACGAGATCTCTAGATGGATAGTTATGTAGACCGTGGATACCTTGATTGGAATGCCCGTGTGCGGGGGTAGTCGCACTGGCTTAACCTGTTTGTGTTTAACTAATTTGCCAGCTCTGGTTGGTGGTTGGCGTGTGTATGTGTGTGTGTGTGGTTGTGGAGGGGGGGGGGGCGCAAGAAGACCAGAAAGTGGAGTGCGGAAGGACAAGGGGACATTTTTGGTCCAGTGCAGGGGGTGGGAAAGGCGAGGCTGAAGAGTGTATAACTGGGGGGGGGGAGGTCGGGGGAGGGTGGACGGTGCAACGAGGGAGTGTTACGGGTCGGTGCGTGCCCCAGGATTGACAAAGGAGGAGGAGAAGGAGGRAAGTGATGGCGGCAGCCATGGCTTTTGAACCTGATCACGCGAAATGGAATGTTATATATCCAATATACATAAATTCGAAGAAGACGCTGGCAGAAGGACGCAAGATCTGCAAGTCCAAAGCTGTGGAGAATCCGACGGTTAACGAGATCTTCGACTGCTGTCAATTTCTGAAATTGCCTTGCCATGTTGAGGTAG